ACGTATGATGGAAAAAACAATCGTTACAAACATCTCGTTTCATCGATTGATGNNNAAAAAAAAAAAGAATTTCGAAAAACTTTGAAATTTCTCAAATACAATTATTCAAACAAACACTCGGAAATTGCTTCCCTTCTTCTATCTCACAAATGCGAATCGAAGACTTCGCTCCAGATCTTCTCGATCTGTTCTTTTTCCTTCGTTTTGCTTGCTCCTCGTCGTTAAATGCGCAAAGTCACCAAGAGATCACGTACAACCACGAAACAATTACGCAAATTTCCATTTGTGTTTTACTGTCTGTCATAAACGATCCGCAACATTTGCATCTATGTAACGATTTCTTCTTCCTCGACCCGTTTTAACGCATTATTCCAACGCAGAACGAAACGAGGCGATCCGCGTTTAAAATCGTTTTCTAGGACCCCCACGACTGCCCACTGCTTCTCTCTTTTTCCTTTCTCCATCCTTAAATTGCGCAAGGTACTCGTTCTAAAACTTCGAATATTCTTCACATTTGGATGGAAATATTGTGCTGGAATACATCGATGGAATCAAGCGACTATGAATCAAGTGCATTCGATCTGTACATTTTTATTAAGGTATCTATTTTTTTTTTTTTTTAAAGTTTTCATCTTAACGCACGAGTTTATTCCTCTAAAACGATTCTGTAACGAGGAAAAACGTGTTACCACCGTGCCTATATTTTAAAATGATTCTACGTGAAAATTCAAATATTACCTTTTATTTTATTTTTATAAATCTACATCTCGCAGTCGCAGGGTTCTCCAGAGATTTTTCTCTAAATTATTTGAATTATTTCGTTTTCGTAAATCGTGCCCTGTACTTGTCGATTACTCGCAATTTAATATTTCCAATGTGTACCTTTGTGTTCCCGACTATTCTAATCTCGTGTTTATATTTAAGTTGAATCGACTTATGTATGTATGAGAGTGTGTATGTGTGTTTATACGCGTGTTTATATCGTAAACGCAATATATTAAGGCCTCTTAGTTACTAACGACAGGTCGTCACGTTTTCATCCTCCGAGCTACGACGCTACGACGATACGAAGATGGCGATAGAATTACTTCCCGCTTCTCTTCCATCGAAAACTTCTTTTCTTCGTTAAAAAAAAGGAGAAAAAAAATTGTATTCCAACGTATGTACACGCGAAATTCGAAAAGTGCTTGGCTTTATGTATATAATACTCGTATCTGGGGGGAGGGGGCAAAAGACGATTTTTGCCCGAAATTTGTCTGCGAGAAAGGACGAAAAAAACCTGCGTCTCCTCTTGCCTCGTCGCTTGGCCACAGAAATCTGATGCATGTGCGTGTGGATCAATCGGAAGGATCGCGGAGAGACACGCCAGTCGATTGTTTAAGTAAGTATACGATTAATTTTAGTCAGTTCTACTGTGCTCGTTTACATATGTATTTCTATTTTTCTTTTTTTTTCTTTTAGGATTTTAGAGAAGAGCGCCCTCTGAAATATGGTATGTAATGGTATTTCAACAAGTGTAACGAGTTATGTTATGTGTGCAAATTATTGGGCATGATTTAAACCTTACAAGTTTCATCTTAAAATTATACTAAATTGTTTTTTCTTTTTCTTTTGTTTTAGGAGATGACTCCCTCTTCATAGTGATCTTGAGTAACCTGACCAAGTCTTTTAGAAGTTTGAGGAACTATAAAAGGTGTCTTAAGTACAGTCTAATCCCTATCTTAATTCGTCCTAAATTTCTCTACTACATGTGGCTCACTGTCATCGCGGGATTAGATAACAGACAGGATTCTTGGCAGTATTTGGTACAACATTCTCGAAATGGAATTATTGGTATTATCTGACTGGCTCTGTCTCTCCTGAGTAGAGACGAAAGGTGATTAAAAGCAAAGCTGAACTGAACTCAATGCGGTGATTGCTGTGAAGGAAACGTGAAAGAAACAGTGCGCATTAAAAACCTGTGAAAGAAACGTTGCAGAGGTAGTCAGTGCTTGGAAGGTAGAACTGAAAATATAAAAAAAAA